CCCCCGGGGGGAGGGGGGGGGGGTCCCCAACATCAGGGGTGGTGGTGGAGGGGGGGGGGAATCCCACGGGCGGGGGCAAGGAGGGGCCCAGACCCCGGGGCGGGGGGTCCCGAGAGTGTCCCGTGGCCCGGGGGGAGACCCGTTCGTGGTGGGGTGGGGGGTTCCAGCCCCCGGGGGGGATCCTGTCCCTAAGAGGGTGTTGTCCCAGGGACGGGGTGGGGGGGTGTCCCCATCTGCGGGGGTTGGGGGGTCCCATCCCCTGGGGTGTGGGGGGGGTGGGGGGGGGGCGGCTCTATCCCCGGGGTGTGAAGCCCCCCGGGTGCCTTTTGACCGCAGCAGGGGGGATGTGGGGGTCCGGGGTGGGGGTGGGGGGGGTCTTGCAGGCGTCTGGCCCCGGAGCGGCTGCGATGAGGGTCAGGATGATTTCGGCTGCCTCCGTCCTCGTCCTGCTCTTCCTGCCCTCGGAGACCTGCTCGCCCCTGCAGTGGCCCCGGGGCCCGTCCCGCCGGCTGACCCTGACCCCCCAACCCACCTGGGAACCCTGGCCGGGAGCCCCGCGACCCCCCGTCCCCGCCGACGACCCCCTGCCCCAAAGACTGTGCCGGCCCCGCGGGGCAGAAGCCCCCGCGGCCCCCCGCGCCCCCCGGGCGTTGCAAACCGGCAAGAGGCGAGACGGCAAACCCAACTCTCTGGATCTCACCTTCCACCTCCTGCGCGAGTTCCTGGAGATGTCCCGGGAGGAGAGACTGGCCCAGAAGGCGCTCAGCAATAAGCTCTTGCTGCAGAGTATAGGAAAATGAGGGAGGGTCGTGGATTGGGGGGGGGGGGGGCGGGGAAGGAGACTGACCCCATAGCAAGCGGCCACGGCAGAGGGGAGAAGGCATGGGGCGGGGGGGATGCTGCTGGGGCTGGAGCCGTGCCCAGGGACACCCCCCCCACCCCCCCACCCTTGCCCCGCGGGGTCCCCCCTCGTTGCGTCCCGCGTGTTGCTCTCGCTGTTGCGCATTAAAGTTGCCCTCGCACCTGCCCCGCTGCTCCTGTGCTCCCCCCCCCCCCCCCCCCCCCCCCCCGGCCAAGCCCTGACCCTTTCCTCTGCTCCAAAATCCCCCGGGGTCGGAGCCCTCTGCGCCCACGCGCTTTGCAGACAGAGGGCCGGGGGTGCTTTGACCTTACCGACCGTGGGTACCGAGCGCCCGTTCCCCTCCCAGAGCTGCTCAGACCCAAACCAAGTCTTCCCCCAAAACACCGGAGCGATCCCAGATGCATCCCTGGGTGTAAAAAGTACACCGAGTGCTTGTTCCGCCGGCGGGAGAGGCGCGAGCTGCACCGCGCGGCAGCCCCAGGAGCACGGGGGGGGGACACACGCGTGCACAGACACACACACACGCGTGTGCACACGGACACGCGCCTGTGAACAACCGCCCTCAGCTGCACAAGAAGTGAGGTTGCCCAAACGGCCCCCGGCATGAATCCGGGGCAGCACGTGCTGCGGAGGGGCTCGCCGCCAGTCCTGCACGAGGGGGCTGAGGTGGGTGGGCCGTGGCGTCGGGGGCTGTGCCCCACCCCAGCCCGTCACCACCACCCATGAGCGATCGGCGTCACCCGTGAGCCCATCACCATCATCCCGAGCCCGTCACCACCCCACAGGGACCCAAACGTCCCTCATCCCCCTCCCAGTCCTGCACTAGCAGCAGCTCCGGTGCCAGCGACCAAAAATACCCTGGAGAGCCGCCTTGGGTCTCTCGAACGAAGGTTCATCGGTGGTTACACGGGACGGAGCTGCTCCTCGTGCTGCTAACACACTGGAATCGCTTTGTGGGTTGGGGTATTTTTTTCTGTAAAGGTACATTTTCTCTCATCATGGGGAGAAAAAAAAAAAAAAAAAAAAAAAAAAAAAAGGGTAAGGAATACGTAAAAGCAGTAATTACTGCAGGGAAAGGGAGGAACGGTTTCTTAAACCAGAGGTGATGACACACAGCCTGAGGCAGCCGGAACGGCTCAGCAGCACTTCTAACCCTCTTGGGAAAGCTGGGGCCTCGGTGGGGCGGGAGGGGGGCCTGGGACCCCCAGACTTGGCACGTGGACGAGGAAGAGGAGGAGGAAGAGGAGGATGGTTTCTGCTGCTTGCGGGGTGCCGGGTGCCAGCAGCAGCCTAAGGCAGGACAAGTGCCTGGGACCCGAGTGGGGGACAGCCGGGAGTGCAGGTCTGCGCGTGGGGGGCTGGGGGGGACGTTTCTCCCTGGGACGCGGCGCTGGGGGCAGACGCGGCTCCTACAAACGGGGTTTGCTCTGAACCCCAGGCTGGAATCTGCGCCCCAAGACGCGGCCTGGGTTTTTCCTCCTCCCATATTGCTGCAAATGGCTCTGAAAGCTGCTGCTCCCCCTCCTCGCAGCAAGTCTGCGCCTTCTAGTGTCACAGCTGGGAGTTTGGGACAAGGTTTAATGAAACCTGAGCTTGGCGGCTCTCGGGGGGAAGAGGAGCGTCTGTGTAAGAGGTTTCTCAACTGAGCATCAGCAGCAAGAGCATCACAGCCCCCCCCGGGGGTCCCGGTCCCCCTCCCCTCAAACTCCCTGTGCTCCTAAACACAAACCATCGTGGATGAAGAATTTGTTCTGCTCCATCCCCTGGGAGAAGGAGGAAAAGTGTCCCAGGGCCGTGCCCAGAGCCCTCTGCAAACCATGGGGTCCTCTGTGTCCCCCCGCCCCCCCAGCCATCCCAGCCCGGGGTGGGCACGGGGACAGACAGGACCTCTGGCACCTCGGGGACAGCGGAGAGGGGACAGGGAGGGAGCAGGGACTTGCGGGGTCAAGATAAAAGATCCAATCATGCTGAGACAAGAGCGCAGGGGAGCCGAGGAGGAACACGTGCCCAAATTGAACAGCTTTGGCTTGGCCTTGTGCACCCAGCCCAGCCCGGCTTTCTCCCTGGTCTTCTCCACCCCAGCAGCTTTTTTCCTCTGAAAAACAAGGAAAACCCCGGCTTTCAGCGAGGGACCGCTCCAGCCCTGCGCCGTGTTGCTGCGTCCCGCGGGTCCTCCCCAGTGCCGTGGTCCCCAGGGTGGTCCCGAGAGCCCGGAGGCTCTGGCTCTCCTCCTCCTCCTCCTCCTCCGTGACCCTCTGCCTCACACGCTTCCTCAGCCCCTCCGGCCTCCGCGGTGCCAAACTTCACTCCCACAGTCCCCAAAACCACAATTTCCAGCTTGCGCCGGTCGGGATGAGCCAAGGGAAGCTGCGGGCACAGGCAGAGGATCCTCCAGCCATCAGCACCGCGGCCACGGGTTGTATTTAAGCATTTTCAAGTGCTGGGAGATGCCAGGTACGCAGGCAGCGGCGGGGCTCGGCCAGAGGAGCCGAGAGCCCGGCTGCGGGGTGCGAGCCAGGAGCCTGCCCCAGGCCGAAAGGCTGGATGTGGGCCCCAGGTTTTGGCCTGAGTTGGGGTGAAGGTGAAATTCTGACACACGAGTAGCCCATGATACAAACCCCAAAGCGGCACGTAAAGGAGCTTAATTTGGTATGAGGGGGAAACAGCCCATTACTAAAAAAAAAAACCAAAAGAAAACCAAAAAAAAAAAACCAAACCCAACCAAAAACCAAAAGCTTCCTAAAGAATATGAGAAAATGCCACTTTTCCTAAACAGCCCATTACTAAAAAAACCAAACAAACAAACAAACAAAAAAAACAACAAAAAAACCAACCAAACAAAAACCAAAAGCTTCCTAAAGAATATGAGAAAATGCCACTTTTCCTAAACAGCCCATTACTAAAAACAAAACCAACCACCCAACCAACCAAACCAACCCAACCAACCAAAAACCAAAAGCCTCCTAAATAAAATGAGAAAATGCCACTTTTCCTAAACAGCCCGTTACTAAAAAAAAAAAAACCAAACCAACAACAACAAAAAAACCCCAACCCAACCAAAGAAAAACCAAAAGCCTCCTAAAGAAAATGAGAAAACGCCACTTTTCCTGAACAGCCAGCCCCAGCACCCCGTCCCTCAGCACCCCGTGGGCAGCGCGGCCGGAAGGTGCCCGACCACGAGACGCTTGTTCCCTGCAAACAGCCGGCGGGGCCCCCGCTCAGCCGGGCTGTGTCTGAGCTCGGGCTGCAGCCGGAGCCTTTGCCTCGCTCTGCCCGGCCAGGCCCCCCCGCCCCCGGCACAGAACCACCCCCCCGGGGCGAGGAACCCCCCCGGGGCGAGGAACCCCCCCCCCCCGGAGTGACGGGAACCCCCCCGGCTCAGTGCAGCTGCCCAAAGCCACCCGATGGGTCCCGGCTCCGGGCCACGGGGGTGAAACGTCGCGATTTTGTGCTTACCTCCTTCCGGCGGATTCCCACCAAACGCAGAACGAACTTCTTCAAAACGAGGGATCCCGGGGAAAGCGGCGGGGGAATAAAAGCCGCCGGTGCCACCGCGCAGCCTTTCAGGTTTACGCTACATCAGTCCCCCCCCCATCTCCCTCGGCTCGGAAGCGAGTCTGGTAGCAGCCTTCAGCACGTCTTCTGCTCCTCTTCGCTTCTGCCTCTCCACCGGCAACACCCCGGAGCAAAACCAGGCTCTGCCAACGTGAGCTGCTTGGGAAAAGGGGATTTATCCTGCAAACAGACCCACCTCCACCCAGGCTGGAGCAGCCAGTCCCTTCCCCAGCCGCCCCACAGCCACTCCTCGCACCACCTGGCAGCTGTAACTTGTGTTTACACCCCAAATACCCGCTGCCGTCCGGCCTCAGATAAAAATCTTTGGCTTTTAATGGTCAAAAAAGCACCGGGGAGCCCACGGCGGGGCTAAGAGGGGGCAGAAGGAGCAGTTGCCCTCCCTGCCCCAGGGACCCCGCGGGCCAGGAGCCGCCGGGCAGCGCGCCGTGCCCGCCCAGGGGACACGGGATCTCTCCCACGTCCCGCCCGAGGCCCCCCACGGCCCCGGGATCCAGCGGGCAGAGACGGAAAGAAAAAGCCGCCGCGCATTTCTGCATTGAAAACATTTATTTTACAACCGTGGTTTCAGATAACTTAGCAATCTTTTATTTTAGTTTATATTCAGACATACAATACACAAATTACCATGCTGAAACATAAAATAATTCCTTCCGCCGTAACTGCGTGTATGTACAGGAGCTCAGTAGTATCGAGTGTTACAATCCACAAAGTTCAGACAGCCACATCTACTTACATACAATTCAAATTATGGTCCTTTAGTAACATAACAAAATATATATATGTCTATATTATAATTGCTTTTCAGATGCATTTATACTTCGATTGTGGGTTGTTTTGTTTTTTTATTTTTTTTTTTTCTTTTTTGAAAGGTGGGCTCCCCCCCTCCCCGCCCTCCCACCCCCCCCCCCAGTCGAAGTGCAGTGCAAACACAGAACGCGTCCCCTCCCGGCGTCCTCAGCTCCCTCGGGCTCCACAAAGAGGCCGACACAACCAAACCCCACGATGAATTCCTTACTTTTAGGGCCTTGCTCACACGCAAAACGAACCTGAACCGCCTCGGGTGCCTGCGGTCCCACGAACCGAAGGGTCCGCACGCAGCCCCGGAAAAAGGGGGGAAGGGAGGAACGCCAGCGGCCGGCTCGGGCAGCACGCAGCCAGGCGAGGCAACCTCGAGCGTTTGGGACCTGGCAAACCTCAGAGCTCGCCTACCTCGACGGGCACAACCCGAACTTCAAACGCCTAAGCGACACAGGGATCCCCCCCCAGGGCAGAAACACCCCCCCTGGGGTTTCCTACATCAGGAAACGGCCCCTGCGGGGGAAGGCGAGCGGAGGGCTCTGCCCAGCGCGACTGGAAGCGATTTGGTGGCACTCACACGTACGCTGGGCACAGCCGCCGCGCCCCCGCACCGACCGCTGCCTCCCTCCGCCGTCGGGACCTGCAGTGACTCCCCAAGCCCCCACGAACCCGACCCGCCAGCGCTGCGAACCCAGACACCGGACCGGACCGCGCAAACACGCCGCACCGCTCGAGCGTAAACTCGCTCGAGCGAGGAGGGAAGAGCTGGGAGTAGAAAACTGCTTTTCCTTTCCAAACGGCCCAGCGATCCCACTGGCACCGCCCGTTTATTTATACAACAGGATCCTGCCACCGGCTCCTTCACCGGCCATTTAACCCGACCGACCTCGTTTGGTTTTTTTCCTGCAGCTGAAAGGAAAAAGCGCAATTCCGGACACACAAAACTCACACCTTCCGCTTGTCTGGCCGAGAGTCCACAGCGGGACTTGGAGCCAAATTTCACGGTTTTACCACCAAAGAAAAAACAGCAGCAAGTACTAGGAGCACACCTGTTGTATAAATATATACATATGTGCATATATACATACATACACACACGTGATGTTGCAATCCAAAGCCTACAGCGCGGGCTTGGACCTTGCTCTGAGCTCACCCGGTCCCACCGCGGCCAGTACAACGTGGTGAAAATCAGTATGAGGACACAAAAAAAAAAAAAAAAAAAACACAAAACAAACAAACAAACCCCAAACCAATGTGTTCTATCACAGCTCTGGCGCTGAGCACATCGACCACATTTAGAACACCCCCCGCCCTGCACAGACCCACGTCATCCCAGAGACGGGCCCTGCCCTCCGCTGGGTTCCTGCCGAAGGAAAGCCGGAGCAGCAGCGCCCAGCTCCGGCCGGGGGGGCCGGGGACAAGGGGCAGCTCGTGGAATTCAAGTAAATTATTATTTTTTTTTATTTTTATTTTTTTTTTGGCAGGGTATGAGAAGCAACCGCTCACAGACTGCAAGAGTACACCCACACGGCTGGCTGTGGGGGAGAGGGAGCAGAGAAGACAACAGCACTCGAGAATGAATGGCCATTTTATATAAGAGCTTCCTCTATACATATACATATATATATATATATATATATAAAAAAACCACCAGAAATTCCCAGCATCTATCCTTTCAATGACACAATTAACCGTGCCCGGCACGTTGGCATTTGATTTCCAAATGAAGGTTTGTCTTCCACATTTACGGCATTTGGCTTGTGCAAACGTCAAAGACAGACAGCTTCCCCCACGTGGCTCCCTCCTGCAAAGGAAGCATCTTCTCGGAAGGAAACGGGAATTTCAGTCTTGCCGGGTCCCGGAGAGCACATAAAGCCTCCCAGCGCAGGACGCGGAGCAGCCCACGGGTCTTGCAGGACTTGAACACTGAGAAATCTCCTGCCACCTCGTTAGCTATCAGTTACATTGCTTTCAAGGTATTTTAAAAGCAGTTGTCGGTGTAATGATACGCTACAAGCTAGATGATTTCCACTATAACACGGAGAAGCGGCATCAAATGATTAAAGCATGTTACGTTTATACCAACCTCACACTACAAACACTTGTACTGGGGGGGGGGGTTAGGGTTCAGTGCTCTGCGATTGATGCGTATTTAAAGAGCACCCAGAATTATCAGCGCGCGGCGGGGGGCTGCAGAAGCCTCCCTGACCACCTCGCAAGCGTGTCCTGCTAAACACGCCGCCAACGCCCGGTTGCATCGGAGAGAAAAAAAAAAAAAACCCGCAGCACAAACACATTTCCTCCATTATCCGGGAAACGTCAAGGACACCGGACAGACAATGGGCACGAACCAGCTGAGAAAAGCGGGGACCGCTCTCAAGGAGCGCACGTGGTCCAAATGCTCTGATGTAACCCCCCCCCACACACACACACACCCCCCCCCAAAGCACGCCGGCGTCCCTCTGCACCACAACACGACCGCTTTATGGATGGGACAGGGATATCTCTCCGGTCAGGCTCCCGCCCTGGTTACACCCAGAGTTTATCGGCGGACACGAAGGGTTTGGAAGCTGCGCTCCCCCCCTCCCCGAGCAGAGCGCTGCGGCAGGACTCGGTGCTTGGCAGGCCCGTGCTCCAGCCCTCCTCCTCAGCCGGCGCTTCTGTTCTGTGGGCTGTGCCCACCTGAACCTCAACGAGCATCACGTTTCAAGAACGCCGTGAGCGCTAATATCTAAAGCAGTTTAAAAATATTACAAATCTAAAAATAAGACTGAAAAGGTAACACGGCTCTAAACCATCGCTGCGTGGAATCAGCGGAAATCTACACCCTATCAGACGCCACGGAGGTTTACAGGAACAAATTTATATACAGATAAATATTTAAGAATTTCCTACAAACGTCGCTAACAAAATGAAACTGGCATTTAACGGGTGCAACGCCCCTTCATTCACTTCAAGTGAAGCGTACAACTGGTTGTACTACAGTGCGGTGGGAATTGCCCCGACGGGGCAGGTCCAGCACCACCACCTCCTCCCCAGCAGCTCGGGGGGGACGGGGGGGGGACAGTGGGGGGCAGGACCTGAGCCCTCTCTGCAGCCAGGCAGGTGCTCCCCCTAAGCTACCAACAGCTCTCCACACAGCACCGCTCGGGAATAAAGTCAGTGGTCCCCAACATCAGCCAGCAGAAGCTCCCCCGATCAGATTCTCCCCGACACCCCTCCTCGTCAGGAGGGGCTACAAGTGCTAAGGGAACCGGCGCTGAAGAGGTTCGATGAGCTGGATGGAGGTGGCCGAACTACTGAAACGTAGGTCTCAGGCAACTTGTAAAAAAAAAAAACACGATACAATTTTAAGAAACAAAACCAAAACACACAGCAGGAGGGGGGGGGGGGGGAAAAAAAAAAAAAAAAATCAAAGCTCAAGTTTTAATTCTGGCAACGCGCTGAGCAGAGAATCAACAGGGCTCGGGTTTAATTTTGGAAGGAAACATTCTGCATGTAAGCCAGGTAGCGGGCTGCAGCGCCGAGCGGCTCTGGAGGGGACGCGGCAGCTCCACCCGCCCAGGCGCGGAACCGCCCAGTGACCTCCTGCGCCAGGATTTTAACCATTCTTTCCAATGCAACTTTGCATTTACTAGGATTCAACTTGGCTGGGTTAAAGTGCAACTCGCGTTAGAGCCTGGGATACTCTTGTACTTCACGTACAGGAGCAGCAAAAAAATTTGGCATTAACCTACTTATCCTCCGATGACACAAGTTTTGCTTTAAAGACACCGTGTTTAAATAGCTTTCTTATATAGTTCAAGAAGAACTACGTGAAATACACAAAAAAACTTAAATTCAGAGATTACAGAGTAACATGGGCAAACTTAAAACATTTTTAAAAAAAACATGAATATTCATCTAAAAAGGTGTTTTTCCTGTCGTTCCCTGTGACTGGGATCTCGGAGTAGTTTCCCTCGGAGCGGGTATCATCGTCCTGGCATGTACCAGCATACAGACTAATTTACCGTTCACACACCACCCACAGACACGGCTGAAAGGAAAGCAGCCTCTCTCAAACTCCTGCCTTGCTAAGCGAAGAACTAAACCAGCAAATTTATCCTGGATGTTGTCTCTTCCCCAGCGGTATCTCCTCTGCCCCTCGCTCGGTTCCGAAGTCAGGGGCCTGCTGAGCGACTCCAGGCGCATCCCTCACCTCCCCGGAGCCCCAGCCTCCCGCCAGCCCTTCTGGTTCAGTGGAAGTAGCCCGGAGGGGGGTAAGAAATAAGTGTTTTTCCAAATTAACGCCGGCAACCAGCCCCCCCAGCATCGAGGGTCACAGCTGCTCCGCGGTGGAGCAACGGCCAGAACAAGTGGCTTTGTGTTACCCGTCGAGATGAACGTGGGGACACGGGGCATGAAGAACCACAGTACAGGGGCAACAGCCTTTTCCTCATTCGAACGAGTCACTCTGGACAACTACGCTCGTTTCCAAAGCCAAAAGAAAAAAAAACCCTAATGCTGCTTTTTTTTTTTTTTTTTTTTTTACCAAGAACATAATTTGCACAGATCGGGGCGATTTTCACCGGTGAGGTTCAAGGGGAGAAAGCCTGCAGGTATCCAAGCATATTCCAGCGTGCAATTCAACAACAAGAACAGGCTTCAGGCAAAAATCTACAAGGACAGTCAACATGACATCATTTTTTTAAGCCTAAAAAATTGCTTTTCATTCCAAGGAGTCGAATAAAGACTTTAATCAAACAAGGACCTCAAGCTAAATCATACACGACTGTCCTCAAGGCCACCCAAGAGAGTTTTCCAGACGGAAAAAGTGAAAAGTATCTTCCAGTAAGCCACCGAGTTTCAGGTCTGAAAGGACTACAGACAAGGAAGAAGCGACTGAAGTGTGCTACTGAAACCTAGCCAGCTCATTAAAAGTAACCCCCCCTTTTGAACGTCTGGGACCTGATGTGGTACCACAAGCATGCTTATTTGCAACAAGCTCACATGCAGGCAACAAAGATGTGCTTGTACCAACAGCTACAGGAAAGTCTGAATTTGCAAACATCCTTCACTCAGCATTGAGACCACGTTAACGACTTTCCCCCCCCCCCCCCCCCCCCCCCCCCCAGCCCATTTAACACGGTTTCACGTCGCATTTTACGTGCTCCCATCATTTTCGGCTCACGCAAAGATAGCGTGGAAGTATATTCAGAACAATTCTCTGGCAGGAGAGTCTCCTTCCTTTTCTGGTGGTTTTCTTACAGCCCGCCAGTGCTTTACCCAGTTCAAAAGTAACACCTGGATCTTGTCAAAGAGCAGCAAACACCGGGCAGGAGGCTGTAAATAGCCTCTCAACAGAAACAGGTGAAAACTGAAAAGAGGAGATGAGGGTGATCCAAAGGACAGTAGAGGCATTGTGATATAAAACCACAAAGATCAAAATTGAAGAGGCTGTAATTAACTGCTAAAAGTGCCAAGTGTAGGTTCTCTGGTAGCTGTTCTGGATCCTGACTCTGTATCATCTAAAACAGGATTATTAACAACAAAATATACCAGCAATTCAACAGCTGCCTAAAATGCTTTTTTGACAGGTAAATCTCAATAAACCACAGTTTCTAGAGCAGTATTCAGATACGATTTGGTTTCAAAATAGTACAGGGAACCTTTCAATGGTTTCCCCATACTTGTTCTGAGGAGAAGAAAAACACTGGTGTAAACAATCTAAATGCAAGACAATGTGCAAATTATACAATATAAACACAAAGAAAGGTATTTTGTTCTTAAAAAATCCATTTACGTACTCCACAAAGATGTTCATGAGAAAATTAAAGGGCTGGTATATTATAAAAGCTTGAAAAAGAGACACATAATGCACCATTTGTCTATTAAAATCCCAAATTATTAGAACAAATTTTTATAAACCAATTATTTTTTTTTAAAAAACATTTATGTTGTTGCCTACTGCCTGCATTTTACTCGCTCAGTAAAAATCAATTACCCAGTTTCACTTTAAGATTCTCATGCATTCAAAGCAAGCTGCGTTATTTGGTCTTCAGCATTTCAGAAAGATGACTGAACTCAAACCAAACCAGAATTGTGCTTGAAGTTAAAATCCCACGACCACCACCACACAAGCCCATTCACAGCTGGTTTTGTGGCAAACTACAGTTTGTGGTTACACTGTCACTGAAGATCGCCTTACACATAAAGAGCTGTTCATCAATTTACTGTTCAAAGATTGGAAACTCTCCCTTTTTATTTTTCAAGGTAGATTTATTTAAGCTGAAAATCAGCATTAAAGAGAACTCCAGCTCTGCAGGACTGGCATTTTTTGGTTCTTGGCTTTGTAAACTTGACTAGATAACAACGCAGGAATAGAAGGAGGAATAGAAGAATTGGTTTGTTGCACTCAAATGAAAACCATGAACTTTTAAGGTCTTCAACAGCTCAGCTGTACCGAAGAACGGTGGCTTCTGTGAAACTTTTTAAATCTCATTTTTAGGCCAGTACCACTGCTTAAAATGCAGAATGTCTCCATCACACTTATATTGTGACAACTCAATACATTACACCACAGACATTTAACGTAACTCCATACATGCTATAAAAAAAGAAAAAAATAAGGGGGAGAAAAAAAAAAAGGAAACAAATAAGACCGTAGCTAAACTGCTTTAAATACTGCATGCTACAGCACTTCACGTATCATCAAGATACGACACTGAAAGGTGACAAAAGGCTGAAGGGATTACAAAATATTTTCGGCAGGTTGGAAAGCTGCCTTCTTACTGTGGCAGAATTATTCCCCCTCCCCATTCTCTACTTCTAATGTTCATGATTCTAGTGTTGAGTTGGCCGTGTATTTTTTTTTTTTTTTTTTTTATCCATTCTAATTACAGTGTTTCCTTAACTTAATTAAATCCATCAGTGTGGTAGCTGGGGTGAGAGTCAGCTGTGAGCTGGGTTGTCTCTGTGGCTGATGCTGGCTGTATCACAATAGGTGCGTCTGAGGCCTCTGAAAAGCGAAGACAAAAGGCTTAGCACACCAAAAGAAACAGCGTTGTATGTTCTGGTAGAGCGTAAGTTACACCTCCCTACGACACTTTAATAACATGATTTTATACTCCTCTTAGAGCACGATGGTAATTTGCTGTCTTTCAGTCCGCACACAATACCGTTTGACTCCAGTCTACATCTGCAACATTTATTGTATTTCCTTCTTCATGTAAGAGCAGCTGATCCTTGCCCACCATTCAGCAACGCCCGTTAAAAACATGATCAGGGCACACACAAGGCTCTACGATTTTTTTAACGATCGGTTTAATTCTAGAGAAATAGCATCATATCTTCAGAAACAGCACTAGATGTAGCTAGTAGGGTAGGAGTCCTGTTTCCTTTATGCTTGATGCAGTTAAAACTGCCCTGACACCCCCCATTCTTTGGGGTGAGAGAGCCCCTTTCTGGAATCACACGTGTCTGGCTGGCAACGTTACTCCAGCGCCGTGGGAAGGAAATTAAATGATGGCCATCACCTGATGCTTGGAAGCTCAACCCACCAAGTTCAGAGAAGACCCACTGGGGGTTTTCAGCAACTCCATCTCCCGACGTTGGCGTCACCCACCCAACTCTCGTGCCACAAGTGCTCCCAGATCACCACCTACAACCCGAGACCTGTGCTGATCTCTACGCAGCACACGCTGCTCCTCAACCCGCACGTGGTCAGAGACTGAGGGTCATTCCAGAAATCTCACAGCGTTTTTACTTACCCCTTTCATCTGACTGCAACTGTGCCTCCAAGTCCTCTGGAGAGACGTAGTATTCCTGCTCCTCACCTTCGGGGGGTTTAGGTTTACACTTCCCGCAGCAACAATTACAGCAGCAGCACAGACAGCAACAGCAATAGCAGCCCGTGATGAGCCCGCAGAACACAAACAAGGCCTGCAGAGGAGAGAAGACAAAGAAATATTCATAACCCGTGCCTACCACGCGTGACCACCGAGTCTGACAGACTCCGGCATGGAAACCAGAGACCAAAAATACAGCAACGCAGAGACAGAGCTTACTAGCTATAGTTCCATACTTCATCTCCAAGATGCATTTAAAAATATGTGCAAAACTGGCTGTGGCTCTCAACATTTTACACTGGGGTGAATACTGCCAACCTGGTTTACCTGAATTCCTACAATTTAGGTTTAAGTGGACTGTTCTGTGACACTCGGAAGAAGATACAGGTCTAAGAAGTGTATCTGTGTTCATATCCAGAGGTACTATAGTTCAGCACAGATTGTAACTTGCATAAATAACCCTGGAAAAGAATTACGCCAGCTATTTGACATACAGGTTGTGACATACCTACAAGGAGGGACCTGGCCCTACCCAAGGTTGTAGGCACTGCTGCAAAGCTCGCCACGCGGAACTTCGGGCTGCTGAGGTGAGATGCTACCAATAGGTGAGCAAGGCAAGGCAAAGCCAGGCAAGTCTGGCAGGTGCTTATCACAGTGACAACAGGCAAAATTACAATTTCCATATAGGGCACCGTGCAATTGTTTGCAAACATAATATTAAAGATAGCAAATCAGCACGGTGATATTCCTATTCTCTTACTGCAGGGGAAATCAAGAGACGGAGACAATGATGGCAAAGGGTGGAAAGATGAACCCATGAAATGAAATGCCAAGAGTAGGAAAAGGTTTTAATCAGCCATAACGCAATGTGAACATGTCACTAAGTAAGTAGGCTGGTGCAGTTATGGTTTCATACTTCAGCTTCGTAGTCACACTGCCCTTTACTTATTACATTCTGTGCAAGCAGACTGCAACCCCATGAACTCTGCAATGCAAAAGCCTGGACTATTTCAGTACGAGAAACGTGTAACGTCCAATGTACAGATTTCTCACGCTTTTGAGTAATTGTGCTGATTTTAAAATGTATTGCTTAGATAGAAGCATATTATGCTTTAAAATAATTAGAGTCCAGTAAAATACAGTAATTTCTTGGTACTGGCAGAAGATTCCTAAAAGGCATCTATACGGTAATTGTTACATCTACTACACACATGCAATGCTTTCAAACAGCTTTTTTGCATGCATTTGTGAGGAAACGTGAGCTGGCAGTGTAGTTTTGGTATACCGGTGATACTCCTTCTGCTGTACAAGAAACAAGGATGGGCAAGTGAACAAATAACCTGCAGATCAGCTGAAGAAGTGACGTTTGTTCAGGGAAGCCTCCGAGTAAGTTTGTAAGCACACTTCTAAACAGGATCTCCTGTGTGAGCTCAAGCTCACAGTCAGGACTCATTTTGCAAAATAATTTAGTAGATATTACCAAAGAGAATACCCTCAAATCCTCATCATTTTTAAATCCACTAGAAGGGTCCAAGCTTCTCTCAGTAATGTTGGTCTTGCCTATTACATCTGTAACACTGACACTTCTGAACTAGAGACTGCAACACAGTGAGAAAAGGTTAAATCACCAAGCGTCAGAAATTCAGCAATTTCCAAAAGCAAAACCAAACACAACTATCAAATGGAGGTCTTTAAATTTTAAATGTCAAATCCAGAATAACTTCTCTTTGCACTCATTTACCTTTGCCCACCAGCTGGATAGCACGAAGTATGTGTTCACATTTTCTTCACCAAACTGCTCTGCTACATACAGACCCAGAGAACCATACTTATCATAAATGTTTCGCTTTGTGGCATCGGTCAATATTGCATGTGCATTATTGATCTCTTTAAATTTTTCTGCTGCCTCCGGATTATCCGGGTTTTTATCAGGATGATATTTCAATGCCAGTTTCCTGCAGAAAGAAAAAAAGATATTGTTATAGATTAAAAACTGGGACTTGGGTTCCTTTTTTTTTTTTTAATTCCGTAGCCTGTCACTCAAGGGAGACTTTCAAGTTCCAGTTGGTGCCTTCATCTGTGATTCAACTTCCCTGATGATTCTTCCTTAGATGATAACAAAAGGCTACAGCAGTGCCTAGCTTAGTTCACAGAATTGACTTCAGGCTGTTGGATTTGGCCCTCAGAAATCCAACAGAAAAAAAGAGACATTGAAGAAAAGTAGTACTCTTTTTTTACCCCTCAGCTCCAGCAATTTCCACCAGTAAGTTTTGTTCCTGCTAAAGTAAAAACCAAGCTAACAGAAAAAAGACACGCCACAAATCTAAGATATAGTACCAAAGACCAAATTAAAGCAAGCTGCCACAGCTAATCTGCAGCGTCTGAACATAAAAATAGAATAGACAATCACTTGTGGTCAATGCACCAATTCCTGTGCAGGAACAAAGTACTTTTCAGTTCAAGGCTTGCTAGTACAGAAAATGCTTCAGAGTTTCAAGATATCAGGAAATCACAACCTACCTCCCCGCCCAGTCATGACAGATCTCTTACAACTAAATGAAACCGCTTTACAGTCCCCGGAGGTCTCTCAACATCGCACCAAAAGAGATCAGATTAAGCACTGATAAATTTGCTAGTTCTGACATGGCCCAGGCTATTTATAGAAATCAGTAGAAAACTGGACAAACGCCTCCTTATAAATAGAAAAAAATGTGCTCCCAAGTAGAAAAATGAGACAGAATTGTATGCTAACAGTTCCCCACCAAAAAAGGTACTTGTCCTCCTACAGAAATTACCACAATGTCCCTTATTTGAGAAACAGACCAGAAGCCTGCAGATGTTTACACACATCAACTTCGCAGCGGGGAAATGTTCAAACAAACATCCAATTAAAGGATTGTGCAAGCACACATTTGCACACCCATGCAAAGGTACCACAGCGTTCAAACGATAAACTGAGGGTGCACTTGAAACAAACTGTAAACGACACTGCTCGGGTAAATAACAGCCACGGCTGCCACTAATGCTGTAGCCTCAGTGAGGACTGAAAGAATCACAGTTTTTATAATTAGAGGGAAATTATATAAACCTGGAAAGGGCTTAGCTGCTATCAGGCAACAATAGAGAAATATTTTTCATTTCCCTTTTCCTACATGTACACAAACCCCACAGGCCAGCAAAAAAATGCTCAAATGAAGCGTAATTACGAAGCAGCTACATGTCCTTCCTCCACAGGAAAAACCACTGCAGTTTTTCTCCCCAAAAAGGTAAAACTACCTTCCGGTTGCTAAGGCTTGAAGTTTACTGATTCAAACTTCCACTTCCAGGTTTAAGGAAGACACAGCTAATTTTTGAGAATCTGTGGGCCCAATTTATTCACAGACTTCACCATGTAGTTGCCATCAGTATTAAAATGTAACTTTGGTAGGGAAAAAGTTCTGGTGAATGTTAAAAACTAAAAGAAAGCAACTTTGGAAAAGAACATCCTCATGTAAAGATTACTACTGACCCCTAGTGTGATACTAAATACATTGCCACTTGTCGAATAGTCCACAAAACCGTAGCTCATGATTAAGGTGAAGAAGCAATTGCATTTAAGCAGATTTTAGGAGGATGTTACAGGACTCTTGGTTTGGTTTTGTTTTTATTTGGTCAATATGAAGCCATTTCATGTGTCTAACTCTTTAAGAAAAGAAATAAAGAAAAAGATCTTTTAAAATTGTAACTCCACATAGAATAAGAAATTTTGAATGGATTTTTAGAAAAAAGTCGTTGTTGACACTCAGTTTTCATTTTTAATCTACACTTCCCTGCCCCAGACTTGGAAATGACGAACAGAAGGGCAGTGCTGCACACCTGTGGTCCCTCTAAGCCAGACACAAGGCTACGTAACACGAAGAATTTAATTCTGATCACACTGTCCTAAAACAGTTTAAAGACCTTCCAGAATTACACGGCATATCTGAGAATTTAACTTATTAAAGATAAAATGTAAAAATTTAACAGCATTTTATACAAAGCCCAGGTGTGTTTTCACATCAATTTTTGCAATAAGTATCCATGTTTTCACCTGGTTTTCTTACATGTTTTTCTTGCAAAAGGTTTAAATAAACCAACTCGAGCCTATACGTAAGTGGGCCATCTACTGAATAAAGCTATTTGTGCTACTGGGCAACAGGCATAAAGCCTGAATCTTTACCTGTATGATTTCTTGATATCATCTGAAGTGGCATTCTTGTCCAACCCCAGCACATGGTATAACGATTCTCCGGAGGTAGAGAGCGAACGTTGCCTCTGGTCTGCCATCCTGGACTACCCTGGAGAAAGGACTGGCCCCTGCCAAGAAGAGATTAAGAAACGCTTAAACAAGGAAGAACACAGACCTCATTAATCAAGTCATCCTTAAAACCAGAGCTTGCATGTGAAAAATTAATCTTTTATAAGGTTTTAATGTGCTTTGAAAAGGCTCTTAACATATGTGGAAGATAAAAATTGATAAAACTCAGTGAATTACCAGTGAAAACAACTATTACATTTTCAGCACAACACCAAGCACCCTAGAATCACAAGTGTATATACTCGACTCTTCCTTCCAAAAACCCAAAATCAACAGCTGAGGTATAGCTATAGATATGTACTACATAAAACATCCCTAAAGCTACTACTTCTTCTTTCTTAGTCTTAAGATAATTTATTTATGATAATATCTATAAAAACGCCTTGACAACAGAGAGGTGGCTATTACATTGAGGCTGCCTTTTTGCACCACACTTGCACAGAGGTGATTTCATTTGCATTTTCAATTGCAGACACTGTCATGTTAAAAAAAAAAAAAAAAAGAGAGAGAAACAAAAACCAAACCAAACCTCCACACATCTCCCAGAACCTCAGCCTCCCATCTTATCACGGACACCAGGTTGAGCAGAATCCTTCAGAGAAATCCAGTTTGATTAGGCCTGTGCATCCCACTGTGAAAGAGGGAATGCCTGCCCACTTAGAGAGGAGGGGGGTCTCCCCTCATCATTTAAAGCCGTGGATCAAACATTTAACATCTATTCTAGTTAAAATCATACTACTTGAATGTGGATTAACCTCCTGCTCCAAATTCAAGTGTGAAAGACCCAAGAGGTCTCTCCTGTGCCCTGTCACGGACAGATACGGTTATGTCCCCTAACATCCTGAGGAGATTAGCATTTGCCATTCTTTAGCTGCAGAACTGCAGCAAGGATGAGCGTCGAAGAGAAGACTATTGGCTATTTTTGGATTATGTCATTACAGTTAGCCTACACCAGATTATGTAGTCTTTGAAAAAGGTATTTAAAGCATGGGAGTTTTCTAATTTAACCCTTTGTCTTATATAAAGAAAAGTTAAAAACTTCACCTGTACAAGCGTGACTAGGTGGCAAGGACACAGACAGAGACATTGAACAATTTTCTTATCCAACTCCAAGCCTACTGTTAACTACTCTTCCCCATCTGGCCCCTCCAACTTTACATTAATTTCACCCTGGGCACTATGTCCAGTTTCTTTGACTGCAATACATCAGCTAAACTAGCAAACTCTCATCTGATTTCCTTCAAGAAACCTTTGGCAGCTCTGCTAAGTTTAATTAAAGCTACCTAATAAGAAAGCTGTAAATTATTATTAATAAAAGGTCTAAACCATGATGTTTTATGATTTCAAAATCCACCCCAAATCTGAAAGGTGAATGTGTCGGTAGGGACAGAAAAATCTTTTATTTTCTGTTAAAGGATGCTGCTCAGCTCCCAAAAGGTTTCTGTGTGAGAGGAAGATTGAGTCCTGTGACACACAATACAAATAACTTATTTATTTGAGCACAATCTGATTCAGTGAAAGGAAAAAAAAAAAAAAAAAAAATCATATTTCAGGAAAGAAATCCCACAGTGAGGAATACACCAGGCACAACCCTCCAGGACGGCCTTTTCCCACCCGCAGCCACGGGCTCCCAGCCCCCTCCACCCGAGCGGTCCCAGCGCCGAGGTCAAAGACTGATGATCCTGACGGGTCTCTGCTAATCTAGCTAATTGCACCGGCTCTCCCGCGCACCGCCTCCTGCTCTCCGACCACCACTGCTTCCTCACAGCCCTCCTCGGGTACTGGAGACTGTACGTGTTAATTCAGCTCTTCCAAAGGCATTGCTTCAAACCAGAACTTCAAGGGCATTACGGGCATTTGTGGTGTTTAAAGTCTGTAGCTCTATTCGGGCGTAACAAGCTTCCTTTAAAATCAATCCAACACGCCCTTGGTGCGCAGATGCTGCAGATCACAGGTATGCACTGTGTTCTGCTTAATAAAATCTCCACTGTTAAATTAGGGCCAATTTGTTTAATAAAAATGAATTCAATTTGATCCAGGCCATGTCTATCAGTCTGCAGGCTGCCTGTCAAGAATACAGATTCCACACTGCTGTAATCTTTAATCGCTTCAATCTGGACAGTTCAGGGTATCTGGAATTCAGTGTAATGGGGTGTCCGTTCTTCAAAACTGGTATGAAATGGATGCGTTGGCCTTGGCAGGAGAGTAGAGGACAAGGTGGTAATGGGAATTCATCTGGGAAGCTTGATATTTAAGGGAACAGAAAAGTATTTTTACTAGGAACGCAACCTTTGGCTTTTCAAATATGAAACAGACAATAAAGGTGCAAGTTATTTGAATTCAGAGTACTTCATAAACCAGGATATTATCTATCCTACTGTTTTTACAAGTGGCTTTAATTCACAGTACTGAATGCTGCTCTGTATTTTTAAAAAGTGTTGTATTCAGCAGCAACAAGCCATCTGCTATGTATTCTGACCAAGCAGGATGCCCCGAAGAGGTTTCTCTCAGAAGGCTCTGAAGAAAGGTAATCCCTTGGATTAAACAGCACATTTTTTAACTATCTGTGTACCAGAATATCCTGCATTATTCAGCTTTAGCAGAAAATGCAACTGTTTTCAGCAGGGCCAGGTAAGTGTAATTGGTACCACCTTGCTGAAAAGATTTAGATTAAACCCGATAGGTTATATGGCAGCCAGGCTTAACATTTTAAATACATCAATGGTGAACTGAACCTTAGGAAAAACTAATTTTCTTTTTATCTTCCCAACAGAATCCTATTAAGTTTCACGAAACTGGTGATATCTTAGTTTCTGCCAGGTCTGCTGACCCTTTTATAAGCTGTATTTAACTCATTCAAATGGCAAACTATTATTACAGCCAAGAGAAATGAATAGTTCTCTGACAGTTTAGGGAAATAAATACTCATAGAGCATCCCAGTGAATGCCAGAATGAAAAGGGGTGACAGCAGATCAGGCAGCCAGAAGCAAGGAGGGAGGACTAAAACTTCATTTGACCTCGCCCCAAGATGCTGCAAGGAATTTAACAGGAAGGGGGCAGCGAGGGGGGGATCAGCTTTTCCAAGAAAGCATGATTATAGCTGTGTGGCAGGACAGAGAGTGGAAGTTAAAGACACTGCTCACACAGAGAGCAGACGCCTGTAACCCTGACCCACAGGAGTCAGATCCCTGCTAGAAAGGACCGCCTTGCACCAACAAAGTGATGGAGGGCTAATTCAATGGACAGTACAACAATATTTCAATGCTGTGAGCTCCAGTACTTTTCATTTCACTTCAAGGCTGAAGCATTATTCATTCATTAACAAATCTGTGGAAACCATCAAGTACCAAATTGCCTAAAATACCATTTTTCACATATGCAATTAATTTTGTGTATTTTTCCATGTAACTCACAAAGGCACAGCCACTTACTTCAATTTCCTCACTGGAGGAAAGACTGCTTTTTAAAAGAGTTATCGTTGTTCAGCTCCACTGATAAAAATCTGAAGGGGCAGAGGAAACCAAACAACATTCATTTTAAAAATACTACTACAGCAGGACATTAGGCTACAATCTTCACCAGAATTATTTTTTTTTTAAATACCTGCATAGTCTAAGTTACTAAAAAAGGAAAGAAAAAAAAAAAAATCTTTCACAGACCTTTAAACATGTGCTGTTCACAACAATTTTAATGAAGTGTCTATCTTCAAAGTAGGGAATCTGGCTGTCAACAGTTGTTCCAAAAAGTGAAATCCTGCTGTGACAGACAAAATCCACCACGTCCCGACATGGTAAATGATATTTACCCACTGTCCTGGGTTTGAGTAAGTGGGTACCAAAACCCCTGCCAGTCGCTCAAACCCAGGACACCCACTATACAAAGAACAGTGGAGAATCATTAACCTTAATGGATACTCTCTATCCAAATCCCAACCAGCTTGGTTGAAACCAGAACAAAACAGCTTCTGAGCCTTTCCATAATTCACCAGTAACACAGAGAATAGAGAAATCCCCCAAACGGGCAGATAAGAACCAAAAAGAATGAGAAAGACAAGCTCAAAGCCATGCTGGAAGTGGTGAAGAGGAGGAGGAGGAAGGCTGCTGTCCGAGCACAGCCCCCCACCACCCAGGCACCAACCCCACAAGTGTCTTTAATAGAAACTACCTGCAATGCTGTCAAGCCTTCTGCAATTACAGGTTTAAGACCATATTAGCAGATAATTAAAGAGCCTAGACTGGAAATTATCTTTTGCCAGCTTTTACGAAAATTCTGTCTAGTTGATGCTTTATTATACAACTTTAGGAAGCACCACAGTATTTTAGGAAAGATTTGTATTCCACAAAGCATTTCTGGTTACTATGTGGTAAAATATAGCATCAGTTACATTTAAGATTACTAGCTCTTCAAAGACTTCCAGTGTAGAAAATTAACTGCAGGTGTTAATCTTAAACTAAATTATTCTATCTCAACCAGTATTTACTAGTAAAAGTCTAAATAAAAACACCAAGCCAAAAAACACTTTAGTAAATATTGATTTATCACAAAAATGAAATAGCACCACTGGCCTCTGCATCCTGTCCATCTGTCTCATTCATTTAGAGTCGTTCTCACAATCTGGTATTTTTCTAGGGTGAAAAAAAATCATTTTTAAAGGGGAGAGGAGAGAAACATACACAAGAATGTATTATCAAGAAAAATATGAGGCGTTTTAAGCTTGGCTTTGTGAGGTATTACAGATTTCTAGAAGAAATTTTGAACTTTGCTTCCTCGGCAATATTTTGCATTTAAATGAGTGGATATTTTTTAGCTACAAGAAATCAACAAATAGAGTACTTACCTGGTATCTAGTTCGAATATTCTAAGATAAGTGGTAACAGCCTCCACACACCTCTAAAACTGAATCTCCTAAAGACAAAACAAAAGCAAATCAATTGTTCACTAATTCATATGGTGAAGGCTCATTGCAAAGTTATCACATTATTTTATTACAACAATCCTTTGTGATACGCTCAAGGCAAGATGGAAGTGAAATAACAGAAACGTAACCTTCTCTACTTATATAGAATTTTCGCTTAAAGTGGGTAAGCATTGGCACCACCGGGAACGTGGCAGCACGCTGCAGCCAGGATGTGTTCAACAGGCACACACCTTCCCACGACACGCTCGGCTGGCACCACAGAGACATCCTGAAGGCTGCATTTAAGTATTTTCATTATGCTTTCACTCAAACACCGCCTTGGTGTGAAAGCCCAGAATAAAACACAAGTGGTTTTACTGTCCGAAATATTTTATACTACAGTAAGTCTCCACAATGTAAATAACTTGAACTGGTTAGCTCTCAAAGTAAGTTAGAAATATCTTAAAGTATAGATTCAAGGGCTCTATGCTTTTATCTGTCGCTTCAGCCTCTTTCCTCAAACCTTTTACCATGTGGAAGACACACGCCTACCTAAAACAGATACCAGTCACACAGAAGCTCTACTAACAAATACCTGTTTAAGACTTTGGACTTTTTCAGCTCAGGCATTTGTGAAATATCTGCACTTAAAACAAGAGAAGCGTGTTTTTCAAGTCCTGATAATCTGTAATGCTGTTAGAGAGAGACTGCCAAAGCAGCTTAGCTCCCAGAGCGGCTGCAAAGCGGGGCCCCGGCGCCGCGGGCACGCAGCCGGCTCTGCCGCCCTGCGAGGGAGCAGCTCAGCCCCAGCACAGCCCAGAGAGCTTTAGTGGCACTCAAATGCCTTCATGACAAATAAAAGTGTAAGTGTTTGGGGGTTGTTTGGGTTTTGTTTTGGTTTGGTTTTGTTTTTTGTTTTGTTTTGTTTGTTTGGGTTTTTTTTTTTGTTTTGTTTGGGGTTTTTTTTATTTTTTGTGTGTTTTCTTTTTTTTTTTTTTTTTTTAATTTCAATAGAAAACCAGTTTGTCTGTACAGCATCTTTCTTCACAGGTTATTGATGGCACTGCTGCTAAGATGATGGAGACGTGTGAGCGCAGGGAGTAGCCGAGTGCCACGGTGCCACTTCTAACGCCGCTCCGCCCGGCACCAGAACTGGTTCATGGGCTCAGACGGGGGAGCAACATCACCTCAATTTTGCCAGGAGTAAGTTCCATCGAGAAAAGCACCGTTTTATCCTATTCATGTTCCCTCACCCTGAAGCAAATTACCCAAAGAAGAAGCAAGTCTCCCTTCAGAGTACAAGGAGGAAGAGAACCTGAGGTGATGCAGCAACACAAACCCCTTTTTTCAGCGGTCAAGGCAATGTTGGACAGGCTGCTCCAGATCACCGATCACACGCGAATAAGAAATGGGCAAGAGGAGCCTAAGAAATGCTAGATGATGCTGTGGAAAAATTTAGGGAAAAGTCACTGCAACCGATTGAAATATCTTCCTGATTAAGCAGGTTCAGGGTGCATCTGATCCATGTCATTAACCACAAAGTCACTCATGCAGTCGATTACCAACCAATAAACGTCACGAGTGGGACTTCAGAGCAGCTTTTACCCGGCAAGCCATCGCTTAATCATCATCCAAACCCTTTCAACAGATTCCTAAGAACAAGCTCTGAACGCACTTGAGAAATAAACTCCCCATTCAATTAAAAAGTACGCCTTTCAAGAACTTGAAGGTTTTGGTGTGGCAAACGGAGATGTTGGGAACGCACCCAGTAAACTGTTGCCATTACTGACCACAGAATTTATTTCATGCGGTCTGTAAGAAGCTGCTTGCTCTTCGCAGCATATCCATCAATGAGTAAGAATGAACCAACCAACAAGAAAATAATCAGCCTACTGTTGATGGAGCTATTTAGTTCATTTGATATATATCGCCAAAAGACTTTCCTGAAAAACAAAAAGGCAGGGAGCATATAAGCTACAGGCAGAATTTAAACCTTCCCACTCAGACAGAGCATGCGCAATATAAAATGCAAGACTCGGATGCAAAACACCCTATTTTGTGAACTTATAAAAGCCTCCAGGTTCCCTGCCCACCACTTCCTTCATTACAAAGTAATCAACAACAGGAACATTTTTAAAGTGATCTTTAGAAAGCTGTGGATGGTTAAGGGGGTTAGCAACCAGGATGACAGCCCAGGCTCTGGGGACTAGAACAGACTTATTCAACGAGTCCACCAGTTTTGCCTGTGGTCACTGTAAATCTTTTCATCTCTAGCTAGCAGATGCACAGTATTTTTTTTTTTGTTTTTTTCCTAAATAAGCTCTGCCTTCATACCTAGATGAAGACCATCTTTAAATTTACCACTAATTCGGGTTCAGACAGCAACCTAAGTTTCAGAAATGTTGACAGTCAAACTGAGAAACAGCTACAGTATGCTCAATTTATGGATGTACACAGCTGGAAATCTGCTAGCGAAACAGGAGAAGAAATCAAAGTCCAAATGTACACTGGAGATTTGATTATACTCGCTTGCTGTTGACAAAATGAGCTATCCTGCTAAAGTCAGCATTTGGCATATAATGAAAATATGATGATGTGTGGATAGAAGCTTCAGATAGTTCAAATAAAAGACTACAGCCCAGGCTTCGTCAAAACTCCACCAGAAGAAAAGTCTTTTTTTTTTTTTTTTATAGCATACATACATAATACCCAGCCATGTACAGAACTTGTAATACACAGAAAAGTATTTTTATCTTAATATGGATGCAAGCAGCAATATTTTCTTCTGTCAGTTCTGCCAATACAAAGCTTCATTAACAGCAGAAAGCCTGCTTTACAGCTGGAAATAACCGAACAAGACCAAAATAAATTCCAAAGGAAACTACTTATTATAAAAATCAAAGTATATAAGCAACCTGTGCCAGCTAGCTCGCATCACTCCCCTCCCCATGCGCGCTCCCGGCCGGCACGGCGGCCAGCCGCAGCACATCCGCCTTCCCTGGGTTCTGCTCACTTGGTTTCTGGTGCAAGTGGCAATTCTAATTTAGTGACTCAGGGATGTTTTGATCTACCCATCCAATCTCATTATGCAGCAGGCCAGATCCACTGACCCAGAGCTCTATATAATACCCTGCTTGTAATTACTTGCAAATATCTCCCCTCCTTATTACATGATATTCACAATACAAACAAAAGGAGAGAAAATGAAAGAACAGATGCCAGAAAAGAAATGGAAGTGTTTAAAATCAGTATTAATGGATGTTTACCTGATCTCAAAGCCCACAAAATCTCAAAGAAAAAAAGTCTGGGGAAGGGAACAAGTAATTGTTTAAGAGGCATGGAATACATACATAAGGATGAAAAGCAGAAGGAAAGATTAAAGAGTGATGAAGAAAAGATAACAAAAGCAAGTAAAGCTACACGAATGCAAACTAAATGCAGCAACACATTAAAATTGTGCTAAGTTTTGCAACACAAATGAAGAAATACACCTAGGAAGTTTGCCTCTCAACCATTTTGCTCATACCAAAACCAGCTCTTCTAGCCTCGTTTGTTCTGCAAATTTGAATCCAATTTATCTAATACTATATTCTCCCCATATACTGCAACCATAAATAGTGCTCAGCATCTTTTCTTCCTCTAACCAAGAGCTATATACTACCTTTTCCTTACAGAAATCAGACATGTTCTCAGATCCATTCTTTTTGATAAAAAGACTACCTGTTTCTTCTGTCTACCCTAACTTCTAACAGATGCAGGAGAACCATTTTTATTTAACAGTTCTATTAACACAATTGTCATCATTCTGCTCTGCACATTGTTAACAAAATGAGATAAGTATCTTTTAGGATACTTTGGTTCATAATCCATTCTCCATCATGTATGTGAGCTATATCATAGTTACAAAGTATTTAAACAAATAATGCTGCAATTAGGGCAAATTAAAAAAAAAAAAAAAAAAAACAAAAACACAAACAAAAACCAAACAATCGACAGAATATAAACTCCCAAGTCTTCATTTTCACATCCTTACTTGCTCACGTCACTTGCCAAATGAATCAGCTTTGGAAAAATCATGTGAAAATGTTGAAAGTGAAGCAAACTGGCTAATAAGTGCACTCAGAAGACTACTACTATTTTAAAGTACTCTTCATGAACAGTCCCCTAGCTGTCTTCAAATAGTAATTTTTAACCTATTAATTATAGCACTAACATTTACTATTTCATTAAAGCATCCAGAGTGAGTGTTCTGGTGCTGCTTCTATTTTATTTATATCACAGCACAAAAGCCTTTTAGCTAAATTTTGCTATTCAGTTTGTTGCCCTTTGCTAAAGGTCAAGTGAGAAATTTCACATCCATAAAAACATTGTGCTTTAACATATAAATCCTGATGTAAAGCTAACCTAGTATCCAGGGAATTAACTCAAATGCATACATCTTTCTCCCAGAAAAACAGAACTTTACTATGGCCAAATTCACTTGCCTTGGGAACAGAAGATAGGTCTCCAACAGTGAAAGACTGCAATGATAAAAGCTTCATTACATTTTCCCAAGTATGAGGTTTTCAAAAAAAATAGAAACACAGAGCTTTTAAATAAATGAAATCTGGGACAATACAACTTCTCTGCTAAATTTAAGTCTAAATTGATGTAACATCATTAACGACAAAGAGAGGTTACACTGAAACTTGTGACAAACTTAACTACAGCAACACAAGTGTTGTTTCTCTAATAAGCTTAGCAGATTAAAATTTAGTCATTTAAGTCTGATTGACCAACTCGTTATAAAGACTTGTGTCCTTGTACCCTATACAAGAGTAAGATTCAAACCTACTACAGAACATTTTCCATATTAGGGGGAAAAATGTAAAGTATTAGAGTCACGTTTTCTATCCTCTCTCCTCAACTAAAATAATTACTCTTTAAAAGCCTGGGTTTTTTAGTGGATTCCCTATTTAGTATTTCATTGCTACTATTTAATCCTTCAGCAAAATTAAATTAGTGTTTA